CCCCAAAACCCCAAAACCCCAAAACCCCGTGATAGTATTGTAATCAATTATAGACGACAATGAAAATTTAAATCGTATGAATCGTATTAACTAGAGAAAGAATAATTTGAACTTTTAAGAGAATAATAATTCACAATGGTGGATATGACTGCTCAGATAAGAATAATTGAGAGCCTTCTACGTCAGGAGTAGAACAAGGAGTGCGCCGATTGTAACTCCAAGACTCCAAGATGGGCTTCCACAACCTTTGGTACGTTCATTTGCCTGAGATGCTCCGGAAAGCACAGAGAGCTCCAAGTTCACATAACAAAAGTGAAATCCGTGAACTTAGATAAATGGCCTGTTGATCTGCTTGAGATGTACAAGCACATGAACAATGCTTTATTGAACTGCTACTGGGAGGCAAGACTACCAAGTTCTTATCAAAAGCCAGGCTAGAATTCTACCCCAAGCGAGGTTATGAGTTTTATTACTTAGAAATACGTTTAGAAGAAATGGATTGATACTGGTGCTAAAGCGGATCTGGCTTCTCTCTATAAGACAGACAAAAAGAAATTCGAGAAGCTTAAAGCTTCATACATCTCTGGCAAAGCTGGTAAGGATGAAAGTGAAGAAGAGGAAAGTGAAGATGAGGAGGAGAGAAGATAAAGAAGAAAGGATAGGAAGGAAAAAAAGAAGGCAAAGAAGCAATAGGATGAGAAACCACAGTAAGAGAAGTTCTAAAAAATTCAAAAACAAACCTAAAGTAAACCGTCTGCACCCGTTGAAGATTTATTCTCTTTCGACTCAGTGCCCCAAAAGAATCAGATCCTTATAGATGACTTCTCTGATTTCCAAGATAGCTAAACAGCAAACACCACCGCTGCTAACAATGTGTTTAATAATAGTAACGCTGGAAACGATGGCTTTTCTGATTTCCAGGGAGCTGCTGGACAGTAACACTCTCAATAAAATAATCAAGTTAATGTGAATCCTACATTAAATATTTAAAATCTTTACAACATGTACAATCAAAGTCCAAACTTTGTCTAATAGCAAGCACCAAATAATAAATACTCAGCACTTGATGCTCTAGGATAATATGGTGCCCCATCTGTCCAGGGTCCCGCTTATGGTGGTATCCAAAATCCTAATCAATAATTCTAACAATAAAACTAAATGATGCCTGGTTTCGGCTAATAGTAAGCTTTTGGAGGAATGCAATAAAATATGGGTGCCTACTAACCATAAAGACAAGCAGATCCTTTCGCTGGACTTTAAGGTAGCTAAGGCTAAACCAACATGTTCTCAGGCATGAATATGACAATAAATGTAAGTAACTATATTAAACTTAATTTAACTTTAGCTTCAATATGGATAGACCGGCCCATAGTATTAAAATCCTTTGTAACAGCAGCAACAACAGTTTGGTGTAAATCCAAATCTAAATCAATTTGCAGGAAATCCTTAATAAAATTCTTTTCCAAATTAAGCCTTTGGAGGTTTGAGTGGAGGTCATAATTTCCATCACCAGCACTCTGCTCCTTAACTGATAAAACCCAACAATGCTGCAAACCTATATGGAGGCCTAGTAGATTTGAACAACCTTGGTGGGTAAAATAATATGGGTAGTGCAGGCTTTGGTCAATCAGGATTTGGAGGCTTCTAGGGTGGAATTAGCAACAATCCAGCTTAGAAGAAGGATGTGTTCAGTGGCTTACTTAGTGGATAATTCTGAGGAGAATTATTACTTTACTGATACACTTTTAATTTCAAAAAATTTCAATTTTTCCTAGTCATTTTAATCGAGAAAATTAATTCATTCACTCCCAAATTAATTACCTCGCATTAAGGGGTTTTGGGGTTTTGGGG